CTCAGATACAACATGTATGTTCTTACCACAACAGAAACACCTCTTTACTTCAGTAGTACACACATTACTCTTATGCCCAGGTTTCCCACATTTAAAACAAACCACACTAGCAGGAGCATCTCCACTACTAGTCCTCTGACCCTGAGCAACTTTCTGTTTACCTTTACCAGTTGGGGTATCATAAGGCTTACCATAATTTTGTTGGTGCTTACCCCTCTTCTCACTGATAATCTTTTAATGAGCATTATTATCCTCCTCTTAAATTCTGCAGCTATCAATCAAATCGGCAAAGACACGAATCTTATGGTATCCAACTGCGTTCTTGATCTCCGGGCGCAACCCGTTCTCAAACTTGATACACTTCGAAAACTCAACATCTTCCTCAACATAGTGCGGGTAAAACTTATCCAACTCAGAAAACTTTGCAGCATACTCAACAATCGACATGTTCCCCTGCTTCGGCTCAAGGAACTCAATTTCCTTCTTACCACGAACATCTTCAGGAAAGTACTTCCTCAGAAATTCCCTATGGAACACAACCCAAGTGACGTTCTCACCTGCAGCTTCCAATCTTTGACAAGTCTCTAGCCACCAGTTATCAGCCTCAACTACTAGCATATGAGTACCATACTGAACCTTTTGTGCTGGAGTATAGTCCATCACACATAATATTCTCTCAATCTCTTTCAACCAATCCAATGCTCCATCAGGATCATACTTTCCCTTGAACGTAGGCGGATTCTCTCTCTGGAAAGTCGCCAAACTACGAGATCCAGCATTCCCGTCAGCATTCGGCTGATTCTCCATCGCATGAGCCATTGCTTCTAAAGCAGCAGCAAGTGCAGTATCATTCCTTCCAGCCATCTTAACTTATCACTACAACACAAACAACAGTTAGAACTCGAATTAACAATACTCGATTGTTAGATAACTACGACTCGACAACAAGGTCGGACCAACCTTTTGCTCTGATACCAACTTTGTAACACCCCAATTCTACCCGACAATTATAAATGTAAATCAGAGTTATAATCATTCATGCAAACGAATCAATATGCCACAAATTTAACTTTAAAAACACATTGCATACAACATGGATACATAAAACTTTAAAACTTCGGATGAACCATCAGTATAATACTTTAATTTCTTAATTCAACCATTTAAACATCTACACAGTGGAATTCTTAATAACATCATTAATCATCGTTACAGCAACTTCAAAATAACACATATTTAATAATAATCAACTTATAATTCAACAACTAAATAATCAACAATCAAAGCAACAAGCGTTCATCCCCCTAAGTGTTATATATCAGAGCAATGACACCGACTCGAACTGTTGAAGGTATACAACCTTCACTCTCAATTACCTGCATGTTACCAACATAATGGGTGAGATATCTAACAATATAATAAAATGTATGATAATTAATATATTAAATTAAATCATATAACATCACCACTTCTCATCTCATAATCAACAATAATCGCAACAGAAAAACCAACTATAATACACCTTCATCACATCAATTCAAAACTTCTTTATGCAATCATATAATGCGACTCAATACTATGCAAATGCATGTGGTACCATTGGAGCAGAACTCCCATCTTAAAAATCAGCCAATAAATAGAGGCATCAACAAGGCATAAGCCTTCATCTTAATATTCGCCAATACAGGTCATCTTAACGAGCATAAGCTCCATCTTGAAATGCAATGTATGCAACACAATCATGACTGTAATGAGAACACCATAATTAACAACATCTCAACACAACATCATCGTTGGCCATAAGCCTACATCTTAATAGCTGCCCATTATTAGAGGCATCTCAACATCTTTCATTAACATCATTTATTATCATCATGCATCAAACATCATTTATCATCATAATTCAACAAACATCATTTCATCGACAATTCAGCCACACAACAGTACGACAATAACTCGCCAACTTAACAACGTTGGCCATAGGCCTACAACAATAATATTGCCTATAACTAATTAGTCATCTAAGACTTACTTCTAAATTACCAAGTCTCTACATGTTACTATTCTATAATACTGCATCATTATCATCATTAATCCTACTGTTACAAACCAAACAATAATCTATAATCATCACATCCTCACCATTCTTCACAAAAATCAACATAGCGATTAACGCGAAAACTAACTCCAATCTTAATTTGGATACTAGGATTATCCTTCCTATTCTTCATTTTAATACTTAAGAATGAATTTCATCGCGTTAGCTATTCAACGCTTGGAACGACACCTCAAATGGAGTCCGAAAACTCAAGTTACAGCCTTTTCCAAACATTTCTGCCAAAAACCAGACAACATGGATCGACGCGTAATGCCTTGGGTTGACGCTTATTGGGTTTAACACACCACATGAGTCGATGCATCCTCTCTTGTATTGACTTATACTGAGTCTACAACACTGCATGTATCGACACATGCCCCTACTATCGACTCATCCTGAATCTAAAAGCCCTCATGTATCGACACCTGACTCCTTCGTGTCGACGTATCCTGAGTCTCTAAGCCTTCTTGTATCGACACATAACATTTGGGGTCGACACATACTGCTCTTCCATGGACAAATTCAGAGATTTTCTCTGTGTTTTCACTACGGGTTCCATAATTTAGGCCCTAAAAACATCTCCTAATCATAGATAATCATCAATTATAATTATCCTATAATTCTACATCAAATAAACATTATTGGGACATCATTATTCATAATTCAATCATCAATTCTCATCATGTCACAACATCATATATAATTCATTTATAAACCAAACAATCTTTCATCTTTAACCCCACATACCAATTATCATGAACCCTATTATAGAGTCAGAACCCCACCCTTACCTTGGATTGAAGGTTGCTCTATAACTTCCGGTTGGATTTCCATTCTGCCTCTTTTCCTCTTTTCCAACAGCTTTCACGTTCTATTCTCTTCTAACCCTTATTCTTCTTACTGCTTCTTCTTTTCTATTATTTCTAACAATAATAAAATAACCCTATTAGTCTCTTTATTCCTTAATAGGCTTAAGACTACTACACCCCCTTATTACTACTTCCATCCTTTAAAACAAGCCCACATCAAATAATATTATCATTCTTCTAATATTATTTCACCACTTAATAAAATAAATAAATCCAACTAATCACAACACAACATCACAAATATTCCAAAAATAATTTAATTAAATAATTAACTAAATTACGGGCGTTACAACTTACATCTTCTGAGTGAACCATTTGTGTTGATAGAGAGGTTTCCAACCAAATTAGTCGTGTTTTGTTGTGTGCAAAAAGAGTGCTATAGTGAATTTTAAAACACACCAACAATTTAAACAAAGATAACTTAGGGAGGAGGGGGTAGCAAGATATGGTTATATCTTACCCAATAAAATTACTCCCATAAGTCACCTAAGCGTTTTTATAGCTAAAGAATTAGTGCGACAAGTGTCACAATTCTTTTGCCTATAACAATAACGCTTAGATCTGACCATTCATATAGCTTCAGAGTCTAGAGGATAGAAAATTCCATAGGGATTCTGGCTTAGGATATTCATACCCAAAGAACCTTCTGACTTCAAAGGTCTAATTGATTCAGAAGCAACTAAATTAGAATCAGATTATTCTATTCTAAGGCTACACATTCTGAGATTTCATCATTCATTCAGGACAAACTTCCATTCTTAAATTCTTCAGAATGAAAACAAATCTATCTTTAACAAGGTTTTTTGTAAAGATATCTTCCAATTGATGGTATGTATCAATAAATTTTTAAGTTTAAAATTCCCTTCTGAACATAGTCTCTAATGAAATGATATTTTTTTCAATATGTTTAGCTCTAGAATGCAAAATAGGATTCCTAGATAAACAAATAACATAAATATTGTTACCAAGAATAGAAATGTTACTCTCATTAATTTGATAATCTTATAGTTGAATTTTCATCTAGAGGATCTGGGTGTTGCATCCAGATGCTGATAAGATTATCACTAAGTGTCGCGGTTGGAAAAATCACAGAATCGCAACCATATTTTATTCATCATAAGGACAAAGAAAATTACGGGAAAACTCTAAAGGAGGGATAATATGGCCATCACAACCGAATTAAGGGTTTGGGAGTCAGTTAAGTGAGGGGAAGGTGTTAGGCACTCCACATTTCTGTTGTACTCAACAGGAACCTTCACTTGATTTAGGGTTAAGGTGTGATTGCTACTGATTTCTTGCATTTATTTCTTCATTCACATATACAAGGGAAAATAGTTTATTAAAGTTAGTGGACTCGCTAAAGCATTGCACCTTATGCCTACATAGTTCGAATTGTTTGGTTAGTTGCTTTTTAGTTTATGAAAACATCTTGGTATTGAGTTAGAATTAGATGCACAAAGGCATAGAGGATTGATTTGATCGCACATGGGTGAAAAACTTGAAGTGAGTGTGTTGAGTGGGTTTTAAGATGTGAATTGATTTGTTTTTGTTTTTGAGATTAGTTTGTGAATTATGTACAATTAATATGAATTATTTACGGTAGATGATGAGAAAAGAGGTTATTCTTGGGTAGTAAACAAAGGGGGTGTGGAAGAAAAAATATGCTAGGCCAAAAAAAACCCTAACGCCCATTAAGCAAAACCTTATTCTATTTACAATTAAAATAAACAAAAAAGATTGAAAATAAATTGAGAAATAAATCCAGAGGGGCTCATGCACCACCCTCCCCTATCCATCAGTATCCAGGAAGTTATTTTCTTTTGACTTTTCAAAGGCAATTCCAAGTAAATGGGCATGTGATACTTGGCCAACTTATTGTTAAATTAAAAACAAAATAAATGTAATAAGCATAAAGGACAATGGACTCCTCATTCCACGATGCATTTTTCTTTTTCATATTCAGTATCTCTCTTCCCCCCTACACTCATGTTTGTTCTCTCTCTAACTCATAAAAAAACATGCTCCAAATAATATCAATGAAAAGTGAAACTACCACAATCAATAAATCTTGAGCGGATAATACCTGGTGAGGACGCCGGTGTCAGAGAAAACTGATTCGTGTTAGAAGAAAGGTTTGACGGTGGCGCTAACAGCGGCGGAGTGAGACTGGCGTCGTGCTTGGGTGGTGGTTGCGTTCGTCGGTGTGAGTCTGTATCGAGGACATGGCCTAGCGGAGCCGATCTCATCAGAGGGCTTATGAACGGTTATTGGAGTGGCTTCATGCGTGGTTTGCGGATCCGGTGAAACGAGTTGCATCAATGTGGTTTCTTCTTTAATATTTAAACTTATTTTTTCTCTGTTGTTCTATTTGAATTTTGCAGCAACTTGGATGTTTATGCTTCTTTTTTGGTTTTATGGGTAAGAGATAGGATGGTTGTTGGAATGTTGTTTGCACACTAAAAGAAAAACGTAATTTAGCTTGGGGTAAATGACTAGGAGTTAAGTCCATAGCTAAATTTACCATTAGTTTGGGGTTATTCCCTGTCTAAATAATATATATTTTTTAAATTTAGTGTAGTTAGGAGTTTCTCGTAGCTAAATTTTAGGAGGGAATTCGAAAATAAATCTGGATGTTTGTGAGGGGGTGACACATGGGAAAAAGGAAAAACATTTAGCGAGAGGGCATCACCTCGCCATAAATAATAGCCGTTGGCCATTTGCGAGGAGCTACCACCTCGTCAGAAAAATAGGATTTTTGTGAGGGGCTAACCCCAAGCCCATTTTCACATCACATCTTGCCCTGCTGCATCTCTGAACCGACTTGCGTGTTGCAGTGGGAAAACAGTTGTTGGTAACTAGTGAGGAGCTAGCCCCAAACTAATTATGGTACATTTTGGCAGCGAGCGAGGAGCTAACCGCAAGCCAAGTTTGGTACCATTTACCACTTACGTATTATGTCTTCTTCTTTCTCTTTCATTTAAAGAATTTTCTTCTCGCATCTCTCTCAATTTCTTCTTCTGTAACTCCTTCAACTTCTTCTTTTCTTTCATCTTTTTCTCCATTAATCCTACATTTTACTCTATTGGAAGCTTTAACTTTTTATTTCAAATGTAATAAAATTATTTCTAAATGTTATTTAAGATATATGTTGTTATATTAATTTATAAATTCTAATTTTTGTTGGATTAAATTCGTAGATATTTATTATATTTTTCTCCATCAACACTAACTTTGTTTAATAAAGCTTCTTTATATGTTACATTTAGGTAAATTAAATTGGTTTAGGTATGTATTAGATTTAGTTTATATATATAAGTTAATTGTTATTCTGAAAATACATTATATATTTTATATATTTTTTATTCCGAAAATATAATATATATTATATACTTTATTATATTAAATAGTATATTAAAACAATTTATATATTATTATTTTTTATTTCAAAAATATATTATATATTATATATTTTATTATATTAAATAGATTATTAAAACAGTTTATATATATTAAATATTTTATTTCAAAATATATTATATATTATATATTTTATTATATTAAAACAATTTATATATATAATTATATTAAATACTTTATAAATTATATATTATATATCATAAAAATAGTTTATATAAAAACGTATATTTAATTTATATAAAAAATACTAAAATTTATATAAAAAATATCAAATATTTAGTTAATCTAAATAATAATATTTTTAGTTTATAAAAAAAAACCGTATATTTAATTATATTTAATTTAATTATTTAGTATATTTAATAAATATTTAGTTTAAATAAAACATAATATATTTAATTTATATAAAAAAACAGTTTATTTAGATTATAAATAGTATACTTAGTTATTTTAGAAAATATTATATTGAGTTTATATAAAAAATATATATTTAGTTTATATAAAATATAATTAATATTTAGGTAATCTAAATAATAGTATATTTAGTTTATATAAAAAATAGTATATTTAATTTATATCTAATTTAAATATTTAGTATATTTAGTAAATATTTAGTTTAAATAAAACATAATATATTTAATTTATATAAAAAACAGGTTATTTAGATTATAAATAGTATATTTAGTTATTTTGAAAAACATTATATATTTAGTTTATATTAAAAAAGTATATTTAGTTTATATAAAATATAATAAATATTTAGTTAATCTAAATAATAGTATATTTAATTTATAGAAAAAACAGTATATTTTATTTATATCTAATTTAAATATTTAGTATATTTAGTAAATATTTAGTTTAAATAAAACATAATATATTTAATTTATATAAAAAAATAGTATATTTAATTTATATAAAAAAATAAATTTTGGTTTTTAGCTTGGGGTAAACTCCTTAGCTAATGTCGCCTGTACTATGCATATTCCCTGCACGCTTCCTGCACACTCCCTGCGTTTACTGAGCACCTGCATCAAAAGCAACATGGTATTTAGCTAGGGGTAAAGCCTCTAGTCAATGGACAGTCAAATTTTGTCTTTAGCAAGAGGTTTAGCCCCAAGCTAATTGGCTAGGTGCTTAGCCCTTCACTCCTTGTCTGCGACCAGTGGTTTAGCTAGGGGACTTAACCCCTCGCAAATGTTGATTTTGTGAAGTGTTTTTTGGTTTAGTGAGGAGTTAACCCCCTAGCTAAAGGGCTTTTTTCTTGTAGTGACAGGTTATTGTCAGGATGAGAGATTTGAGCAAGTGTTGAGGTGTAAGTTTTATGATTTGTTGTTTTTGGTGGATGAGAGGATAAGGTTGAAGGAATCACGAGATGCTGATGGTTAGTTATGGGTGATAATGAGAGTCACGGTTTTGGTACAGAGAAAGAAAATTAGAAGGCTGTAGATTAGGGGTCTTGGTTCGGAAAAAAGGGCACGGTTTAGGTTGAAGTTTTGTGGATATTTGTTTTGTTGTTGGAGGTTCATGACAATGGTGAAGTTTATATGTATAGGTTGTGTTTGTAATTAGATGGATGAGTTTGTGTCAAGTAGACTATGTTTGGTTTGGATCCGTTTGAATGAAGGAGTTTCATGACTTGTGTTGGGATGAGTTTTCTATATAGGTTTTGGATTTGGAATCAAGGTTATTTACACGTTTGACATGCTTTTGGTTTATGAAGATAATTTTTCTAGAAAAAAGAACAAGAATAATGTATCCGTGGTGTGGTATGTAGAAGAGTGTGGGTGTGTATCGTGTGTGCTACAGATGAAAAATATATACTGGGTGGTGAAATTGGCCTCATGTGTGTGGATACTCTGATATTTATACTAACAAAATTTGGTCACCTAGTAAAGAAGAAAATAATTTGAAATCAAAAATTAATGTCAAGATTGAAATTTGTTTTAAATAGAAGGAATCAAATCAAATAGTTCAAAAAAGTTGACTTAGACACAAAGTTAAAATAAAAAAAACTACCTTTTATATTTTTAGGACTTTTTTTTATTCTTTTTGGACTAAAAATGCATGAAATAAAATAAAAAATAATTATTTAAAAAATATTTAATTAATTAAAAAAATGAAAATTAAAAATAAAATGCTAATTTTTTTTTTGTGATTTAATGAATAAAATAAGATTGTAAATAAAGTTAGAAAATAAAAGGGGAAAAGTCAAAAGTGGGAAGGTAGGATTTGAACTCAGGGACCCACACTAGTAACTCTATAAATATGCTCTTTTGTCAATTGTGCCATTTCATTTATTCGAAATAAAGTGACCCAAAAAATATATAACGGTAAAGTGTCCGGACAAAATTGGGGTATGACAGCTGCCCCAATTTCATTACCATTCGACTCTAGAGTGCAGAAGACAAAGTCTTCACACCTTTGTGGCGGAGGATGATTAAATATCGAAAGACCCCAATTTTGTTCCTTAAGAGAAAATATGTATGAAATGCTAACTTCTCTGAGGATATGCGAGTAAGGACCCATCCACAGTTTGACGTTGTACCTTCGAGTCTTGATTTTGCTTATAGGACTTGGAATGTAATAGGCCATCTACTTGGATGCAACATGGCTGCCAAAGAGAACTGGATCAACGAGTTATCATTGAAATGTTCTAGATGAGACCAGAGAATGGAAAACATCTGGACTGGGGCAGGATAATGGAAGACCTCTGGGCTGGGCCAGGATAATAGAAGACATCTAGATTAGGCCAGGATAATGGAAGACATCTGGACAAGGCCAGGATAATGGAATACATCTGGACTGGGCCTGGATAATGGAAGACATCTGGACCGGGCTCCAGGATAATTAGAGACATCTGGACAAGGCTCTAGGATAATTAGAGACATCTGAACAGGGATCAAGGATAATTATATACATCTTGATAGGGCCCTAGGATGATTAAAGACATACGGACAGAGCTCCAGAAAAATTAAAGACATCTGGACAAAGCTCCAAGAAAATTAAAGACATATGGATAGAGCTCTGGGAAAATTAAAGACATTTAGACAGAGCTCCAAGAAAATTATATACATCTGGACAGAGCTCTAGGAAAATTAAATACATCTAAACATAACTCAAGTAAAATTAAAGACATTTGGATAGAGCTCCAGGAAAATTAAGGAAATATGGACAAAGCTCCAGGGAAATTAAAGACATCTAGACATAACTCTATGATAATTAAAGACATCTAGACAGAGCTCCAAAAAAATTAAAGACATCTGGACAGAGCTCCAGGAAAATTAAAGACATCTGGATAGAGCTCCAGGAAAATTAAGGATATCTGGATAGAGCTCCAGGGAAATTAAAGACATTTGGACATAGCTCCAGATAATTAAAGACATCTGGACAGAGATCTAGGATAATTAAGGTACTTACCAACACGAGGGTTGGAGTGAGAAATAACTGACACGTGGATTAGAGGCTAAGATTGTTACTAACACGGGGATTAGTACGCAGGTAATTGATTTGCTGGGGATTGTGAGATGTTTATTTTGACGAACCTGCTAGGATGAATAGTTGGGGATAAGCCTAGTCAGAAGGCTGTTACCAACTTAGCTAGGGATATGTAAGGTTTCTTACGATTGAGTTAGTGTTGGTCTTTAGAATGATCCTATGTCAGGGAAGGTTCTAGAGGAATTCCTCGGGGGAAGGATTGTTGAGGGACATGCTGTACATGAGACTTTGTGAGGAAGTCACTGGGGAAAGTTGATAGATCTACTTACTGAAATAGGCTTGCTTGGGGATTATGATAAGTATAGCCGAGGAATGTCCATAAGACAAACTTGCT